GAAATGAAAAGCATTGATGAAGTGGAGCATAATTTTAACGCACAACCACTATGCACGTTAGTTGTTTTGAAACGGTTCGCTGAACGGAGGGAGCGAATTGAATTTCTCCACAAGATCACTTAAGCCGAACATATCCAGCTGAGTAAAATAACCATTGCCATATAAACAATATAGATATTTTCTGTGTATCTAAGTTTGGTATGCATCCAAACAGTATGCAGTAAGCAAACAGGAATTTGGAATATCAACGGTGGGGCTTTTTTGCCCTAAAAAGCTTTTTGCTGTATTTTATGTGTTTTAATGAAATTATTGTATTTTTTTCTAACTTCATATCGTTGATGAAATTTCGATGACTTTTATGGCCAGCTCATAAAATTTCTTCATGGTTGAAAATAATAGGAATTACGTATGTAATAGAAAATTTAATAAAATCACAATACTATTTAATTACTATAAGATTTTTTAATACTCTAATAGGTATATTCTATTATTATATATTCTATAATTTTAATTTATGGTTTATTTAATCTACTATATATTTATAATAGTATAAAAAATTTGATGCATTAAACTTGAACGTTTTGTCATGGTGGGCTAACAAAATCTGCCTTCGAAGACAAGGTTCAAGTAGTCAAGTAATGTTATAAACAATGTTTATAGTTTATTAATGATGCAACTCAGTTCTGAAGTTACTAAACTAATAAAATAGTAATAATTTTCCGCCCTTCAGTATTGCACATTTTATAGCAATTTGAAACATTGCGAAAAACAAAATGTATTAAACTTAAGCTTATTATAGAATAGAGTAGTCTTGACTCCCAGTAGAATGAAATATTACAACCATACTGGACGTTTTGTACTAACAACTTTTCCTAACCGTAAAACCTTTGATTTAGTTAGCAATGAGTTTCAAATGAGAAAGTAATAATATGCTCAAGTATTCTTTAAATAATAGGCTTAAATAATATATGTTTTTTATATCAGAAAAGTGTTAAAATGTATCAATATCTCTAAAATTCCTTTTTAATAATAAATAAGTCATATTTTTTGAAATTTTTGAGAGTATATATGTAAGGATCAAGTCACCACTATATATTGTAA